AATTCTCACACCAGTCAAGGAAAGGGATGTTTGGACTAAGCATGAAAGCAGAAACTTGATAAATGTTCCTTGAAGTAATTAACATAGTGATTTAACTGCACTTTTGGTTTACAGTGCAAACTTGGCCACAGTTGATGCTGACTTATCAGTAAGCATTGTGATCAATAAATGACCTTGAAGCCGACTTTATAACAAAAGTGTCCTCAGTGAAATCTCATCTCTTACAAAAAGTTGAAAGGGAAGAAGAGACTTTTCTCTTTTACTTTGTAAAACCAGATATGTCTATTTTTTAAGTCCACTGCGATGCCTAATGATCCAGCCGCAAGATAAAGTAACACCTTTGCAAACAGCATAATGCCAAACGACACAAGGTTGAGACAACTTCATTTACTTCTGGTCGTCGCCGTCGTCATCTTCCTCCGCTTATCCGGGTCCGGGTCGCGGGGGCAGCATCCCAACTAGGGAGCTCCAGACCGTCCTCTCCCCTGCCACCTCCACCAGCTCCTCCGGCTGGACCCCAAGGCATTCCCGGACCAGATTGGAGATGTAACCTCTCCAACATGTCCTGGGTCGACCCGGGGGCCTCCTGCCGGCAGGACATGACCGAAACACCTCCCTGGGGAGGCGTCCAGGAGGCATCCCAACCAGATGCCCAAACCACCTCAACTGACTCCTTTCGATCCAGAGGAGCAGCGGTTCTACTCCGAGTCCCTCCCGAATGTCCGAGCTCCTCACCCTATCTCTAAGGCTGAGCCCGGCCACCCTACGGAGGAAACGCATTTTGGCTGCTTGTATCCGCGATCTCGTTCTTTCGGTCATTACCCAAAGCTCATGACCATAGGTGAGGATTGGGACGTAGATCGACCGGTAAATCGAGAGCCTGGCTTTCTGGCTCAGCTCCCTCTTCACCACGACAGATCAGCTCAGCGTCCGCATCACTGCAGACGCCGAACCAATCCGCCTGTCAATTTCCCGATCTGGTCCAGAAATATATATACTCCAACTACAATGCTTAGCCAGAAAACACGTAGAAAATGTAAAAAGAAAAACTTCTGTGCAGCGAAAAGTCATTTGGGTCTTTCTTGTTCATTATTTCAGCAAAAACTTTAATTATGAGTTAAAAACTGATAGAAACCACATGCAGCGCTGCTGAATCTGAGCGCGGAAATGAAGTCAGGCTGTAAGTTTCGTCTCCAGCGCCCTGCCAGCTTCCTGCACTGTGCCTTGCAGAGCGCCAGTGTGGGTGTGTTTGTTTAGACCCTGAGGGGTCCTATTTAAACTCATCAACTCACAACTCAGAAAAAAACTTATAAAACTCATGGCAATGGTGATCAAAGGCAAACACCACAACAAGATATCCTTTAGTAGTTTGTATGGCTTACATGTTTGCATACAGCCTCCTGTTTTCTCTAGTTTCAACTAATACTGCATACTTTCCAGCCTGCTTTGCTCTTTTAGGGCAGGGTTAACGTTGTAAAAAATACACAACTGAGTTTTAATTTGTATGACCTGACATTAATGTGAAGCATGTTTGATCCATACACAGTTACATACACACCTGGGATGGATCAAGACTGCATTTAGGGAAGATGACTCGAGGAACATTAAGAGTTCCAGAGCTGATTTTTAAATAAAATCTAAGGTTCAAGACATTTTGCATTTCATTTGCTTACAACAAAGCCTGCTAATGTGTAGTTTTTATAAGAAGGAAGGAAGGATGGATAGATGGATGGATGGATGGATGCATGGATGGATGCATGGATGGATGGATGGATGCATGGATGGATGCATGGATGGATGGATGGATGGATGGATGGATGGATGCATGGATGGATGCATGGATGCATGGATGGATGGATGGATGGATGGATGGATGCATGGATGCATGGATGCATGGATGGATGGATGGATGCATGGATGGATGGATGGATGGATGCATGGATGCATGGATGCATGGATGGATGGATGGATGGATGGATGGATGCATGGATGCATGGATGGATGGATGCATGGATGGATGGATGGATGGATGGATGGATGGATGCATGGATGCATGGATGCATGGATGGATGGATGATGCTCCGGGGTCATAGACTGTTTAAAATTTAAAAAGCAATGCAACTGCCCATTCCAAAAATCTGATCTCAGCCAGATATGAAAACGGAGCTCTTTGACCTGCAGTGGGAGCCAAGGATAAGCTTGCCTCTCTTTTCTTAGTATATTTGGATAAGACCGAAGAGACCCAACTCCTCTTCTTCACTGTTTCCTGATTAAGACAAAAACACTGGTCTCAGTCTCTCATGTCTGCTCACGAATCTCTTTTATCTCTTAGCTGAGTTGCTACGGTTGACTTGAAGCTGAAAAAGTAAAGTGCGTCAGGACTAAATCAAATGTGTGCAGTAGTCAAAGTTGTCATGGTTACATGCTTTTTATCTGACCAGGATTGGCACAGAAATCTCACATATATTGAACAACCCTAACAATCTACTGATAAGAAAAAGCACTGTTTGAATTTGAAGAGCATGCACGTCACTGTAAAGTGTGTAGCACCTTTCAGAGTCAGAGGACTCCAAAGTGCTTTACACTGCAGTGAATCATTCATCCATTCACATACTTGAGATGATGAGCTACAATGTAGTCACAGCTGCCCTGGGGCGCACTGACAGAGGCAAGGCTGCCGAGCATTGGCACCACCAGTTCCTCCAACCACCAGCAGCAGGCAAGGGGGGGTTAAGTGTCTTGCCCAAGGACACAACAGCAGCATCCTTTGCAGCAGCATTAGCCGGGATCAACAACCGCTCTACCTCCTGAGCAACTGCTGCCCCAGTAGTACTGTAGTAGTGTGACAATGTAGTTGTAATGCAACGTGTGGGCTGGTGTAACGTCACCAAATGGCCTGATTTTAAAGATCCCACAGGTCATATGCAGCCAGAGCAAATAACCCTGGCTACTGCATGTTTTGCTGTATCTTCCCTTGTCAGGAGTCTGTGAGTCTGCACAACCCAGCATTTTAATCAGATGACTTCATCAGCTGAGCGCAGCTTCATCAGATAATAAAGATGAACAGCAGCAGCCAAGGCCCTTCACAAGAGAACTCTTTAGATAAACTTTTTATTCCCAGAAGAAAGAAGATTTCATAATTAAAAGTAATCATTTTATTTTTCAAAATAATCATGGAAGAAAGAAGATGTTATGATTAAAATCATTACATATTGCCATGTATAATTAAGCAATGAAATGTTCATGAATCTGTACTCAAGGATTGTTTAAGTATGTTTACTGGATTAGGTCATCACCATCTGCTCACACCAGACAGAGAGTAAGGTTAAGATAAGAAAGCATGACACATGACACATAACTAACTTTGTCCCTAGACTCAGAGACTCTGCGTCTCAGAGCGTGTGTTTCTGAGATTCTTGGTTACTCTCGTAATAGATAACACCAGGATATATAAACCAACTGCTCTGCTTTCTCGCCATTCGGGAGAGAAAGCTGGAGACTGGCCATCTCTTAGCAGATCTCTAGCTTAGAAAGATTTTGACACACTGTCAAAACCTTAAAGCTTGTTGCACCTGCGAAGCTGAACAACAAGACAGTTTTCCTGCAGAACAAAGCTGATTTTGCAAAACTCCTTCAGAGTTATTTTAAGACGCATGGTTTCCATCCATCTGTCGTGACCCGAGACAAATCTCTAGGACTGAAAGGACAGCACCTCAGTACACTACAGCCCTCCGGTCATCCGACCACTCTAACTTTCGGATCCACCAAGAGGGTGCCTCTATGGTAATGTAGACACACACATAGCGTCTGTAGGCAGTTTGATAAATAACAGCTTAGAGCTTATCTGCAAACCAAATTCTTTTATTGCCAGAACGCACCTCTCTGAAGATACAGAGATTTTGACTCTAACACTATATTCACACGTAGTTGCCAGACACCCATCTTTTAGTTCGCATCCATTCACATAATAGTTTAAACAATCTGTCAAGTCTTAATTGTTTGTAAAATAAATGCTTATTTGTTTGCAAACACTGAGTGGTTCTTGAATCATAAACGAAGTGTGAATGATCCCTTAATAATTAAAAGAATCCTTGAACCTTTTAATTAATCATCCTAAGACCAAGCACAATGATGTTCTATAATTAATAGAGTATTCCAGCTATTGGTCACAGGTAATGATAAAAGAAATAAATAGCTCTTAAGCAATTTATTTTATCCAATTTACCCTCTATTTGATCCATCACACAGGGCATGTATTGGCTTGGTTTGGGGGCTGGAGCTGGACCAGAGTCTAGACTTTGAGAATGTTTAAGGGGGAAAAAATATTTATTTAAATGATTAGTTTTTTGATAAATGTTCTTTAATGTTTGTTTTTTCAAGTGGCTAATCACCAAGGTAAAACCCAAGATCAAAGGTTTATTTGTAAATGTTGCTTTTATTATGCATCATAATAGTCTCAGATATAATTCTACATTTTTCTTTCTAATTTAAAAAAAACTTTTCAGCAGCAAAGAGACAAGGGGAACATAAAACACTCAGCAGGGAAGCAAATGTTTCAACAGTGATAAATCTATGCAATTTCAACATTCAGAGGGAGAGCTTTGTGTTTAATATATCCGCCAAGCACTACATGCTCTGGTTTCTTTTTAAATTTCCCAGGATGATCTATATCCTGTAAAACCTTCCGGATAACCATTCACATTGAAATCAGCTGGCGAACAATCAGAGGAATACATGCCAGGTGTAACACAGACGATGTTTGCTGCAAAGCTTCTCATGCAAGTTGTTGTCAGGTCTGGGAATAAGAAATGAGTAAATCTAAAAGCAATATTTGTTGTTTACCACATACAGGAACACAATTAGTAGTCAGACCTGTCTGAGCCCGCATTCTAGCCACATTATACTTAATAATAAGAAAAAAACAGAGTCCTAAAGACAACTTTAACTTGGTAATCTTTCTCCAGTGAGAATACATTTCCTAGGTACAGTACATTAGGACATTCTGCTAAATACATAAACATAAACATAAAACATTCTCAGGTCTCCGGTAGCCATAGAGAAAAATTCAAAGACCTATCAGACCTCTGCCTAAAAGGGTGTCAGGAAAATCTCCGTCAGACAAAAAGGTCTCAGGAAAAACTCTGTCAGACATCAGAAATAAATATTTTTTCTGACACTTTTCCTAAGTCCTTTTTGTCTGATGGAGGTTTTCCAGAGACCCTTTTTTCCTGACAGACTTTTTCCTAATTAAATGATAAATTACCTGCACTTGTATAACGCCTTTCAGAGTCAGAGGACTCCAAAGCACTTTACACTATAGTGCAGGGGTGTCAAACTCATTTTAGCTCAGGGGCCACATTGAGGGAAATCTAGTCCCAAGTGGGCCGGACCGGTAAATAAAAAAAAAAACTTCAGATTGTTTTCTTTGTTTTAATACAATCAATATAAAACAAAGTTGGAGTCTGAGGACAGTGTAGTACAAGTACAACACCTGAAGTGTACTTGAAAATTTGAAAAAAAAAAAAACAAATAATAATAATAAAAATCAACAAATAAAAAAAACATTCCTTAGTGATTCAAAGAGCTTACAGATCACATGGTTAGATCAGTTTCATGCAGCACTTAAAGTATATTTGACTCATTTTACTTTACATCATTTAGCTTTCACCAGCACATCAATATCAGAAGTCACATCCTGAGTGGCGGTGTTGTGTGACGGGGTGAGTACTCCCTCTTCTCCACAACATCTTTGTAAGACTGTCATTCCAGGAGAGGGCACTCACCAGCTGTGGGGCATTACCGATCAGCGGCAGCTGCAGATCCTCTAATCAACCGCAGCAGAGCTCTATTTAAGAGGAGAGGGAACCACTTCACATCGCTGGATGATTAACTACTCACGGTAGAATCTTGCCACTCAGTACTAGGTTTTACTTGGTCTCTGCTCAGACATTTGTGCTGTCACAGTTTTTGGATTTATCTGGTTTTTTGTGCTTGGATTTTTTGGTGTTTGGACTCAAGTCTGTTTCATCTTCAGGATACTTGGAATCGCTGAACCACAGATGGATGTACCTACCTGGAAGTCACCATAACCCGCCTGGATTACACACTCAAGGTTCACCTCTCCTCCAGCTTCACTTGCCCTCTGCCGCCATCATCTGGCTCCCTCTCCTGGACGTACCCCGTCACACCGTTTGCCCTCCCTGCTGGCTTTTGGACTCTTGCCGACTACTTCACACTTGGATATCTCCAGGACACTTTTAGTTAGGGTTAATAAATCATTGTTTGAACTTTCTGCCTTTGTCCTGTGATGGTTCTTCATGTCGTGGGTTAAACACCTTCCCAGGAACATGACAGGCGGCCAACTTCAGGATGTGATTCAAGTTCTTGTGTGAGCCTTGAGCGCAGCTTTGTTTTATTTATACTCATTACAGAGAAACCTTGCTCACAAAGATACGTTTATTTTCACTCTACATTGTAAAGTATGAAAATAAAATTTACACAACCATCTCGCGGGCCGGATTTAACCCGCTTGCGGGCCGAATTCGGCCCGCGGGCCGCACTTTTGACACCCCTGCTATAGTGTCACCCCTGCTATAGTGTATCATTCACCCATTCACACACACATTCACACACTGGTGGTGCACTGGGCGAGGCGAGGCTGCCGAGCACAGGCGCCACCAGTCCCTCTGACTACCACAAACAGGCAAGGTGGGTTAAGTGTCTTGACCAAGGACACAACAGCAGCAATCTTAGCCATTAGCCGGGATCGACCCTACAACTCTCGGATTCCTGGACAATTGCTCTACCTCCTGAGCTACTGCTGCCCCTGTAGTACTGTAACAATTGTAGTGGATTGTCTGCTTGATATCCTTGCTCTGAATCTCGGTAAACAAACATATCAGATCCTCAGTAATTTTGGTGGGAATAGACTAGACAGGTAAGCGACAGTTCTATAATTTACCTTCTTATGATGTAACAAAAAGGGAGTTTTTGAAATGGCTTGTTCTAGGCATTTCATTCCTGAAACCAAAAACTTGACTGAAAATTGATGGATGGGTTTTTCCGCATTTGAAGTATTTTTTATTTATCTATTGTACGTTCTTGCTGTGTTTGTCTTCTAATTCCATTTTTGGTTCCTATTTAAAACACATAAGGTTTCTCTTTACTTTGCTGACGGTTTCGTTTGCGGCTGCAGACATCTTCAGAGTATTATTTATTTATTTTTTCAACCTTTATTTTACCAGGTAAAATGTTTGAGAACATGTTCTCATTTACAACCATTACCTGGCAGAGAGGTCTTGAAAGGAAGCGCAAAAAACATTAATAAATTAATAAATTAAACACATCATATATATATATATATATATATATATATATATATATATATATATATCCAGAATCGATTCACAAAGGTTCAGAATCAATTCCAAGAACTCAAATATTTGGCATGTTACAGGTTTGAGATGCACTTTTTTGATCTTTGTTAGGAGAGTCAGTACTCTGATTACTTTTGTGGTCCCATAAATTGAGGTGATTCATGTTTGAATCTGCTGATAAGAGGGCACTTGAATGTCGTTTTTTCCATACTCAGAAATTTGAGATATTCTCATCTTTATTTTCTAAGATAATAAATGAGTACTCAGGATTACTCATGTAACTTGTTTCTACACATACTTGAAAAGTATTTGACCATATTACTTTCAAAGCTACTGTTAGGTAACTACAGATTTGTTATATTTTACAAGGTAAGCAAAAATAAATGTTGCCTTTTGGTCAAAAGATTGTTTCTGTTTACAGTTTTAGAATCGCTTTATTTTACATAGTAAATTTGCATTTTTGGAGCACGACCAGTTTAAAGTCAAATAAAAATGTCCCATAGCTTTAACTAACTTGTACAACAAAGTAGTTCATCCTGGAGCTGACACTCTTTGTGAATCAATTTAAATTGAGAATCGAGAATCGATTCTGAATCGAATCGGCACCCCAATTATTCTTATTCTTAAGAATCGGAATTGAATCAAATCGTGAGTTGCTCTAAGATTGGCATCTCTAATATATATATATATATATATATATATATATATATATATATATATATATATATATATATATATATATATATATATATATGAAATAGAGACAGACATGCAAACACAAAAGTGTAAAAAGGTGAGAATTCTATAATATGTCCCCTTAAAGATTTTAAATTACATTTTTATAATTTATACAGAGTTTAGCAGTATTGTAAAATCCAAGCATAATTTGTTTGTTTTAACTATTTGGAAGTGTTAACTGTCCCATCACAATATTCACTAAATGTTTGTGTTGATCGGTGGCAAAATCAGCTGAAATGGCAAGGAGGAAGAGAGAGAGAGACTATTTTAGTGTACAAATATCCAAAGCTAAAATAACATTGCCAGTACTATGAAAGGAGTGAAGTTATCATAAAAAGTAGAAGCAGCAAAGAGAATAAATCTGGGCTTAAAAAGACAGCAGTCAAAACAGGCAGATAGTCATAGGTGGGTTTGTTGTTTCTATCTTTTATCACTGGTATGAAATATGGAGCGTTCTCACATTTCTAACTGCAAAAGCTAAGACAGCTGTCCCGATGTGCTGCACACAGGTTGCTATTTCAGAATGTGGAAAATATCTATTTTCTTTAGGGAGAAAATGTTCAGTTCTTATTTGAGAAGTGGATGAAAGAACAGGAACAGAAAGCCTGACACTTGAAATGACAACACAAGGAACAGGAGACCATGGGATGATGGTGGAAGCTACTGAGGCAGCCTCTCGTCATTTCTGTTGACTGACCCACAAACATTGAAATTAAATTACCACATGTCTTAGATCTTCCTTCACCTTCCAGTTCCTTGTGATGAGGTGTCCTCTGAGTACTTTTGGCAGAACCCTGACCAGAAACTAGCTAAAAGAGAATTCCAACGAGTGGGCAAGATGGCACATTGACGCTCATTAACTGCTTTTGTTTGCCTCCACTCCTCATTAGCACTCCTTATTAGCAGCAGATGGATACAAGATTTAGCCCTCCAACTGCAAATCCAGACATTCCTGAAATATTTCTTCAGAGCAGGTGACCTAATATCCACTTTCAGGTCTGCCATGTTTTTGTGTCTTTACAGAGCAATTCATTATCAGTCCAGAACAGAAGCAGTTCAAAGTGCGGTGAGAGCTCAGTGATCTGTGACAGTAACCGTGAAATGAGCACACTCCTGTTTAGTCGGAGTGCAAAGAACAACAAATAAAGCAGGCCACTTGTTGCCCTGGTGCTCAGTCTGGAATCTGTTTCAGATGGTAATCTGAGCCCATTTTGTGATTTCAAAAGGATGCATGTCCTCTAATCACGCAGACACCTGCAGCATGAAACAAGTGCCAGACAGAATAGATCTGTAGGGACAAAATCCATCAGCCTCCCACTTACAAACTGGTATTATAAAGGAGCAGCATGCTGTGGACCTCATTCATTCTTGAGATCCGGCTTTGAAATAATAAACGGGTTTAATCTGGTGAAATGGATACATGAACAAATGTTTATTTCATTCTAAGATCTATTTAGGGCAATGCAAATAATGTCTTCATATGTAAGTAAATCAGCAGAGGAGTGAGTGTAGTAGCTCTGCATGGACACAAACCATTCTTCAGAAACATGAGAATCATTTAAATTTTCGTCTCCCTCTTGGTTTTCATGTCTGCATCCAGATACAAAATAGTAAAGAGGTCAGTGCCAAATGGGACCTTTTGAAGTGCTTCATGACGACGTTCTCAGTTTGCACAAACTTCAGAGATGAAACTCAAAAATGATGCAAATCAAAAGCTACTGTGCCAAATTGTTGTTTTTTAACTTATTGCTCTTCCCATATGTGTTCCATTAAAAGGGGCTGACACTTTATGAAAAAGTAAACAGAACTATTTATTTAATGTCCCATTAGTCATCATCACACATGGTGAAATGACACCTCCACATCTCACCCATCCCTGTGGGTTGCAGCTGCGCTCGGGAGTTTTTGTTGGTTTACATGTAACAAATCAATCAATCAATCAATCAAATCAAAGATACTTTATTAATCCCAGAGGGAAATTAGAGTTTCAGTACACACCATTCAGAGAGATCAGACATACATGGGCAAGACACATGACCAGAACTGGTGACTGTGGTCATTCGCAACCCTGAGTCGCACTACCTTAATAGAGATGAGGGGTTACATGACCCCAACCCCCCCAATCCAACCCCTTAAGGCTGAGTGTCAAGCAGGGAGGCATTGGGTCCCATTTTTATAAAGTTTTAGGTACGACCCGATCGAGATTTGAACCCCAAACTCCCAGTCCCAAGGCAGACACTCTGCCACAAGGCCACTGAGAAGGTTTGGCTTGTCTTTATCAATAAAGTCCATGAGATTATCTTTTTGGTACTCCAGGTCAGAATGGCAGCTCTGCTACAGATTAATGTGAACCTTACAAAACCAAATAGACAAATGGACCAAGGCTAGTTTATGTCCACAAGGTTATTTATGAGATGGAGACAGCCTCTGAAACCAGACCAGCGTATGTCTACTATGTTTCATAACTATTTAAAGCAAAGTGAAAGTGTTCCATGCTTCTTGTAATGTAACTTTTAACAAAGCATTAAACATTTAGAGAGGATTGTCTGGAAGCTGATGACATCCTGGATGGTATTCCTAAGACATGTGGCCCAACAGAAGAATGAAGCTCTTAATGTATCTGAGGGACATTTAGCAGAATTTGTGAAGCGGACCTGATGGCTCCTAACTGCTGCTAGAAAGATATTTCAGTGATCAACCCGATTCCCTTAACCCTCCCACTGTCCTAATGGGTGTGACCCCACGAGGGAAGTTGACCATTGAGCAGGATTGATGGTTTATCCCTTGGGTCCATGTGGTAGGGGTGAGGAGTGAGCGCCGCCTCAGCCCTGCCACGTGGACCTCAAGGGATAAACCATCAATCCTGCTCAATGGTCAACTTTCCTCACGGGGTCACCCATAAAGACAGTGGGAGGGTTGATCAATCCGTTTTTCCCTCCAGAACTCACAAGGCAGCAATATTCTGACTCACAGTAGCTAAACAGTTTTTATTACCAGCAGTATAAACCTTTAACACCTTGTGTCGAATGGACTTTTTTTTTTTTTTTTTTTTTTTTTTTTTTGCAGGAGCCAGTATCAAATTTATAGGCTCAACTGTTTTCTTTGTAGGGAGAAACATCTTAAAGACTGTCACTTTTCAGCTATTATTGGGAGTGATATTTGTTTTCTGGGTGTTATT